CAAATACATAAAATGCAATATATATATGTGTGTGTGTGTGTGTGTGTGTGTGTGTGTTTATATATATTATATTTATATATTTATATATATGTATATAGAATAAGTAGAAAAACTTAACAGTAACGATTTTCTTTTTGTTTTTCTCTGACTTAACTCTTTGCTTGCCCGAGGAAAAATCTCGCGCTTTATTAAGTTTCTATCTCATCACGTTTACACCTTACACATGTTATAGATACAAGTAAATGAAGTTATACGTGCACGCGGAATTTATTTTCCTGTGTAATATTCCTCTCTTACAATATACTATATATCGATCGAGCAACGATTTCATAAATCTCTTTCTCACTATTTAACGCGAGTACGTCGTGTTCTATTTTATTCTCTCTGCAAAAAAAAAACCGAGAGAATTTCTTCTATTTCCATTTCTCTTCTATACTCATCGGATGGAGCACCGTTCTGAGATAGATCAAACATCCTGTTTTACGAGTTTCCAGGATGCACTTCACTCTATATATGTATGTATGTTTTGTGTGTGTGTGTGTGTGTGTATGTTCGATGTTCATATTTTTAATTTATGTATACACATTTATAAAGTCCACGTGTGAAACGCGCACGTGTTGTTTGTTGGCGGCGATCAATAAAATATACAGAAAATGTCGCCTTAGCTCTCGTTCCTCATACTTTTCTTTTATTCTTTCTTTCCTGCGGATTCGGACGTCTGCCGTTACAGAACTTTCTGCGATATCGCAACGTGATTTTTATATCTATTTTCATTAATATTATTTCGTTTTAATATCACTGAGAGCTCGACGATTTATTGAAGGTTCGCGTGATCGCATTTCGATTGAAGAATGAACTATGGAGCCAAATTACGTTCAAATGCAATATGCAATTTTACACATAAAATATCAGAAAAATTATGATTTATTATGAAGTATAGTATGAAGTGTAATAATTAAAAAGATAAATATTAACATAAATATTAAAATAATAATTATTATTTTTAATTTCCATGATTCAATTTTTGATTATTATTAATGATGCCAATTTTATTGATTATTTTTTATCCATCGACAATAAGCAAACTAAATCAATTATTTTTACTATCTTTTAAAAGCTAAATTAATTGATTAATTTTTTATATATAAAAATTATATTCATTATAATACGCTTTGCAATATGTAGAAATTAGTATACGACATCTAATTGTGTAAAATGTCAAATTAATTTTGCATTGTTAATATAAACGTGAATTTTTCTTGTATTAAATATATATCTGTTTTTTCCGGAAATAATAAAATAACAGTCGGAACAAATCTTACTTCGTCGATGCGACCAAACAATACCTTCGAAAATCGTAGAGTCATATGGAAATAAATTAATTTGGATATTATATTTTAATTAGCGTTATTTTAATATTTTTTTTAATTTTGTTCTAAAGCACGCATATTTTTTATATTTCGACAATAATTATCTCTCGGGATTATACATCTTGCCACGTATCTAAGAAAAGTCTTTTGTTATCGTCTGTCATTGAGTATCGTCAGACGAGTCGTAAAATCGTTATTGATATTCTTATTATTATCCTTATCACGATATTATTACTATCATTATTATAAATTACTTATATGACTGCAATCGATATTGTTATTAAATGTATTATTGTTATGTAATTTAATTAAATCACGGTCTCGTCACAAGGTTCTCACGTTTATCTTTAAATTAGCATTTTTAAAAATTATAATTACATTAATATCTATATTGGATTACAGTTGATTAGTTCTTTACGAGCTTGGTCGTCATCCTTTACGACATTAGAAAGTCTGTGAAGATTGAAAGTAGTTTTTTCCGTTATCCTCTCATGCATGTACAATGTTTTATACGACGTGTACGATAAATGACATACATTATACACGCACATTTTGCATTCTCTCTTTTTTTACTTTCGTCTTTCTCCCTCTCTCTCTCTCTCT